GGCGGACTGACAGGCTGTCCCCAGTGACCCCCTCAAACCACATTTTACCCCTCTACTCCAACTTCCCTTAATCACACTGCTGGGAAATGAGCTGAGTAATGAAGTCTGAACGTAGTGTGTCGGCTCTAAGAGAGGTCCTACACTAATGATCCCTCTCAGAGGTTTTCTAAAGGAAAGCCCAGGAATGTGGCTTGAATCCTGACTGTCTTCCTTGTCCCATACCAACCTGGGCTGCTGCGATGTTTTGCTTGTTTTGTTTTCTTTTTTGATTTATTGAGACAGGGTTTCTCTGTGGCTTTGAAGCCTGTCCTGGAACTATCTTTTGTAGACCAGGCTAGCCTCAAACTCACAGAGATCCGCCCGCCTCTGCCTCCTTAGTGCTGGGATTAAAGGTGTGTGCCACCACCGCCTAGCTGTAGCTTGTTTGTTTACTGGGGCAGGGTCTTAACTATGTAGGCTTGGCTGTCCTGGAACTCCCTGTGTAGACCAGGCTGGTCTCAAACTGCTTCCCAAGCATTGAAATTAATGGTTCCTCTACCTCTGTATAGTTCTCCCCACCCCCACCCCCGAGACAGGGTTTTTTTTTTTTTTTTTGTATAGCTTTGAAGTCTGTCCTGTACTCAACTTTCGTAGGCTGACCAGGCTGGCCACAAACTCATATAAATCTGCCGGCCTCTGCTTCATGAGTGCTGGAATTAAAGGTGTGTGCCACCGCTGCCTGGTTCTCTGTGTAGTTCTGAGTAAGAAGGCTTTTATTAATTTTTTGAGAATGTTTTTCAGGTAGAATTTCTCTTTGTAGCTCCGGCTGTCCTGAAACTCAGAGGTCTGAGTTCCTAGCTCTGCCTCTCAATTACTTGGAGTAAAGGCATATACTATCACACCTGGCTTTGATTGTATTCGCGGCAGGGTCTATGTAGCCCTGTATTTTATTTATTTACATATTTGTTTATTTATATGTATGAGTGTCTTGCCTCCAGGTATCTCTGTGCACCTTCACATTCAGGGCCTCCACTTGGCAGGTACCTGGGGTCTGCAGCAGCCTCTGGGGCTGTAATGGTGATACTTTGTATCCCTGCTCCCTCTGCAATGGAGTTACTGGATCCCGAGCAGAGTTAGGGTAGAGAGGTGGACAGAAGAGGAGGCTGTCTGAAGGGCAAGAGGATTTGTGGGTGCCAGTAACGGGTTCTCTCTCAGGTGGAACTCTGACAACACTGGTTCTAGGCCCTTCGACTGCTAAGAAACTAGCGTGTGTCAAGTGTGGCCTGAATCTTCAGCAAAGACCAGGGATGCCCCCTGGTGGATATGCACCTTCCCAGTGTAAACACAGAGAGTTTTAGCTCGGGTCTGCTTCCTAGTATCTCGAGGGCTGCAACTAGCCACTGAAAACTGGGATGGTTGAAGGCAAGGCTAATCTTCTTCAGCCTTGGCATGTGGTAAAAATACGCAGCATTGCCGGGGCGGCTTTAGAGCCTGAGCCCTGGTGTTGCCATGAATTAGCTCCAAATCCCAGCTATGTGTACCGACTGGGCATGCTTGGGCATGTTAGTTGTCCAAGCATGCGGTCTTTCATGCGTCCAGTAAGTATAAGTGGAGTTCTGCCTCACAGAGCAGTGGCCATGAACGTGCCTGTGGAGGGGGCGTGCCTGCGCTGGCCGGCTCAGCAAACGGCCACACTGATTGGTAGGAAGAGCATGTTCCAGGGGACACCAGTCGGGAGTCATCGCTCTGAGTATGGCTGTGTTCTTCCTCATTTGTAAAGCAGTCGGTCCCGCTTTCCTTCAGGATTGCCCTGAAAACCAGACCTTGAATCCAACAGATAAGAACACCTGGGTTCTTCTGTGTGTTTGCGGAGTTATTTTTAGAGCTCGACTTCCACTTCATGAGAGGTACTCCATCTCTCCAATACGGGCCGTTGGGCTGTTACAGGGACAGTTCTCTGCCCAGAGCTGGGCAGGAAGTGTTGAAAGTGACGAGCTGTTAACTTGATTCCGCGTTCAGGTTCATCGAGGGCCATTTGGTGCAAGGGTCAGCAGACTTCTCGGAAAGAACCAGAAAGCAAACATTCAAGGCTTTGTGAGCGATGCACTTTCTGCCGCAGGTTCTCAGCTCTGTCACCGTGGGTGATACAGAATCGGTGCCTGCTGGTCGGTGCCAAACAACCTTCTATGTGGACTTGGGAATTCCGATTTCAATCATTTTCAAGAGTGTGAAATAGTCTTTCTACCACTGCGTTTAGGAACATAAAAAATGTTCTTCTGGGGTGCCGTTTAGAGGCACCCAGAAATGGTCTGGCCTTTGACATACAGTGGTTGTACAGTTTCCTGCAGCACAAGCCTCCAGCAAAGCTAGATTGTCCCAAACCCCGGTAATGTTCACCTTCATACCAAGATGTTCGCGAAAACCTTGAACTTTGCGTGTTGTGTGTGCGAAGGCAGAATTTGAGCAGTCCGTGCTCTGGGATCAGAAGTTCTTACAGAGTTGTCCAAGCCACAAACCATGTGTTAGTTGTGTCTGGGACAGGGTCAAGTGTGCTTTCAGTATTAAGGAGCAGAAAATCGGTGTGAAAGTGTTGAAGGCACATGCAGGGTCAGAAAGTGAGAGAAACGTGACACTTTCTAGAGGAATAAAGATCAAGTCTCCACCAGAAGGCAAAGGCAGGTGGATCTCGGTGAGTTCAAGACCAGGCAGAGACACATGGTGATACCCTGTCTCAAAAAATAAAAGAAATCAAGGATTAAAAAACCTGACAGGTGAATTCGGCTATGCACTCCTTTAATTGCAGCATTTGGTTTTGTTTTTTGTTTTTTTTTTTTTTTGAGACAGGGTTTCTCTGTGGAGTCCTGGCTGTCCTGGAACTTGCTCTGTAGACCAAGCTGGCCTCGAACTCATAGAGATCCTTCTGCCTCTGCCTCCTGAGTGTTGGAATTAAAGGCATGCGCCACCACTGCTCGGCCTCATCAAGAGTTGTTGCGGTCAATTTCGACTATATAGTGAGTTCTGGGGCCAGACAGGATAATATATAGCAAGATCCTCTTTTTAAAAGGAACAAAGGTCAAAAAAGTAGCAGAGCCAAGCATGATGTGCCTGTGCCGCCCCAGGAGTCGGGAGAGCATGGCAGGAGGGTTCTGAGTTCGAGATCATTCTGGGCTATGTAAGGAGATCTGTCTTCTGAAAAACATGCTTGTGATCTTAGCATTTGGGGGCAAGAAGATCAAGAGTTCCAGTTCCTTCTGGGCTGCAGTGCTGAGGCCAGGCTAAACTACAGGATTCACTGGCTCAAAAACCAAAACCAAAACCAAAACCAAGCAGTCAGAAAAGCAGGCCATGGTCTGGATTGACAGCTGGCCCGATGGTTGTGTGTCTCTGGGTGAAGGTTATGGTGAATAAAAGGGTTCAACTTTGGTTGTTGTTGGGTGTCTCTAAGTCTCCATGTCTTATATTTGTCACTGAGATAGTAAGGAATTAGGGTCCTTTCAGACCAGATGTTGGGGTTCCCACCGCAGTCTTGTTCGTCTCGAGTGTCACACACGGAGGTGCCAGTTTCCTTCAGGAATCACCAGGAACTTGGCAGGCTGCGTTGTGTCTGTATGCTCCCCTCCATGGTGGAAGTTCCAGAGACACCTGTTTTCCCATTTCACAGATGAGCCAAGAAAGGTCAAAGGTTTGCTTGCTGGTGGGATCTGGTGCTCACCTAGAGGGTCTGTCTCTGTTCCCTTTTCTCTGGGATGTTGTCAGAGGCGGAGAAGGAAGGCTGGACTGTCCCCACCAGGAGACACTTGCTCTTTTCCTTGTGCTGCCGTTCGTAGGTGACATGGGTTCCACCTTACACTTGATACTTACTCGTTGTCTAGCTTGTGATAAGCCAGGCCCCTTTCTCCAGAGTCGTGTTGTAGAACTGTGAGGTGCCAGCACCGTGGCGCAGGGAAGACAGACAAGAAAGCAGGGAAGACATCAGTGCTGGGGGTAATGAAGCATCGTTACATTCTGGACCCCGTGCCAATTATTTGAGGAACCGTGTGTTTTCTTCCTCACACCCAGTCTAGCAGAAGGGCTGATAAGATGAAGACCGAGGCTCAAAGAAACCAAGTTATCTGTTGCCTTCACAGACTAGTGGTTTTTTCCTCCTTAGATTGATTGATTATTTATTTATTTATTTATTTATTTATTTATTTATTTATTTATTATTGATGACGGGTCTAGACTTGCCTGGGACTCACTGAGAAAGTCCTCCTGGCCTTGGACCCACGGTGCTCCTCCTGCCTTACTCAGCCTCCTGAGTGTTGGAATTACAGGTGTACAGAAGGTGTCCCTGGTCTATATAATGCATGAGGCTGAAACTGGCACTTTGTATGTTTTAGGCAAGCGTGCTACCAATTGAGCCAGATTTCTAGTTCCAGAAATGAGACATTGTGTGAATGTGTGTGTATGCATGGGTGCCTGCCAGTCTGTCTCTCGAGGCCAGCAGACAACCTTGGGTACCTTCTGAGGAGTTAGTTATCCACCTTGCTTTTCTAAGGCAGAGTTTCTCACTGACAGGCATCTCAGTGAGTGTAGGCTAAGCTGGCTGACCAGAGAGCCCCTCGCACAGGGGTCACTTAAGACCATCGGAAAACACAGATATTTACATGATGACTCATAACAGTAGCAAAATTAGTTATAAAATGGCAATGAAAATAATTTTATGGTTGGGGGTCACCCCAGCACGAGAGGTATGGCATTAGGAATGTTGAGGACCACTACTCTCTAGGCTTGCCTGCAGTCCGGTCTTACAGAGGCTTTTTCTCACCTGAGGCTCCCTCTGACTGTAGTTTGTGTCAAGTTGACATAAAACGAGCCAATACCCACAGACATTGGCTGGCTTGGAGTAGCGGTGAGGAGAGTGGCCAGCTCTGTAGGAGAAGCAGATGTTGGATGCGGCGGGGAGGGGGGGGAGAAGTGCTTCTTCATGGGATCTGGAGTCCTAAGCTGGTCAGGGAACAGTGTGTACATTCTCTCCCCAGGGAGTCGCCGACTGGTGGACGTGGTGGACGTGAACACCCAGAAGGGCACTGAGATGAGCATGTCCCAGTTTGTGCGTTACTACGAGACCCCAGAGGCACAGCGGGACAAACTCTACAACGTCATCAGCCTTGAGTTCAGCCACACGAAGCTGGAGCACCTGGTCAAGCGCCCCACTGTGGTATGCCAAAGCCTTCATGGCCCCTTCCTTCCTCGTCCGCCACCCACTTGCTTGCCACGAGGCCGGACTCTAGGCTGCTTGCAGTTTGAGATGGAATGGCTGGGTGGGTGTGGTTGAGGCTGGTCCCTTAGGGCATGGTGGGGAAATGCTGAAGCAGAGTTGGATCCAGGGTGGCATGGGTGAGGCAGCCTAGCTGAAGGCACCCAGGGACTCCTCGGGCAGAGGGGTAGTTCTTTCTGGAATGTGCAGGAGACACGAGGGTGCTTACAATTGACTGACTTTCAGGTGGACCTGGTGGACTGGGTGGACAACATGTGGCCCCAGCACCTTAAGGAAAAGCAGACGGAAGCCACAAACGCCCTTGTAGAGATGAAGTACCCCAAAGTGAAGAAGTAAGATTGCTTGGCTGGTGGTGGGACTGGGCAGGGCTGAACCCCAAACTTGTGGGTATTGGCAAGGGACTTCTTGGTCCTCGATGCGAGTGTCGGTGTTGCTTCAGAGGTGAAGGATTGACCCCCAGCTGGCACACAGTGGTCACACGAGAGATGAGTCCCTGGGTGTGAACAAACCGGCCTTTGGGTGCTGTGATGGGTCAGGCGTGCCCTCCTGTTGGCCCTGGAGCTTCTCCATAGCTGCTCTGGAGGTCTAAGGAGTGATGGGAACTCCCTCTGTGGAATTCGTGTCTGCGTATGGGTACAGTTTTCTGGTTTGGTTTGTACCCTCAACGTGACATTGTCCTGGGAGTAGCATTTCCAGAGGACCCTGCTTTTGGAGCAGCACAGAACTCAGGCTGGGCAGTGTGTGCCTCTCACTTTAAAGATTTTGTTATTTAATATGTGTGTGTGAATGCGTGTGTGTGTGTGTGTGTGTGTGTGTGTGTGTGTGCACCACATGTGTACCGTCGCACCAGATCACCTGGAAAGACAAGGAGTGGTGAACCTCTAACGTGGGTGCTAGGAGCTAAACCTGGCCCCACTGTGAGATTAGCCAGTGCTTTTAACCTCAGAACCATCTGTCCAACCCGGTTCTCTTTTCTTTGGTGTTAAGACGTGGAACTTCTGATCCAGAAGCACCTCCCCAAACAAAGTTCAATGTCAGTCACATGATGTGCCTTCAGTGGTGCCCTGTGGATTGAAGGGTGGTCAGGGTAGGGAAGGCAACCCCAGTTGAGAGCAGAGAGACCTCGGTACGCTGTCACAGGACCAGCTTGTTCTGAGCCTGCTGTTCAGTACGGAAAGTGGTACTTGGGGAGCCTTTCATATTCAGGGATTTTAATAATGGGCCATCTGGAGAAGGAAGTCACCTTAGATAATCCTGCCATTTCAGACCCTCTGCTTCTGTCTCTGAAAATGGGAAGGGGATACTGGCTTCCCAGAAAGACTGGTGCTGGCAGCCTGGCTCCATTAGCATCTGTGCTTAGCTCAGCTGCCAGCCATGCCCCCAGGAAATCGCAGCCGTGAACTCCTCGTTTCCCCAGCCCTCTATTCAGCCTGTATTGAATGCAGACGGTGTGCCTGGCTTTGTAAGGCAGGCTAGCACTCTTGAAGAGGCCCTGGATTTTTTAATGTTCCTCTCTCTTTCTGTCTGTCTGTCTGTCTGTCTCATTAATTCTTGGACGTTTTTCTTCCCCTCTAAGCTAAAGTTCAGTGTAATCCTCGGATCTGGGCTTTATCAAAGGCAGAGAATATGGTCCAGGCGCAGAGGGAGAGGAACAGGGCTTGTTTCCAATTCTCTTCTGTTCCGCCCGAATCACAGCACAGTGTTTCGAGGTGGACAGATGAAGGGGTGAACAGGGTGAACAGGACTGAAGGCCCTCCATCCTCACGCATCTTTGTAGCACGAGTTGCCATGTTTCTGGGTAGAGAGGAATTCTTTTGAGCCCTTGTTCCCAAGGGGTCTTCTTGCAGGGCACGAGGCATTTAACTTGGGTTTTATTTATTTTTGTTTTGTTTTGTTTGAGACAATCTCTTTACATAGTTCTGGAACTCACTCTGTAGACCAGGCTGGCCTTGAACTGGGAGATCTACCTGCCTCTGTCTCCCATTTACCTTAATTGAAGGTATGCAGTACCATGCCTGACTACTTTTCTTTACAATTGGTTTATTACTTCTGTGGTTGTGTATGATACGTGTGTGTTGGTGTGTACCACAGTGTGCCTAAATTGGCTTTTTTTTTTTATGGGAATTGATCACTCACGTGGCCAGGCGTGTGGAGTAAGTGCTTTACTGATTGGGCTGCCTCTGGGTCCTAACTGGGCTTTGGCAGGCAGAGGAAATGTGATGACTGGGGAGGGATTGAGAAAAGGAAATGGTGAAGATGGAGCTGGAAGAAAGAAGCAGTGACTGTTTCCACTCATTTATTCACTCAGTATCAGGGAATGGAGCATCTTAGTGGTACTGAGGACACAGGCACTCAGTATCAGGGAATGGAGCATCTTAGTGGTAAAAGCTGAGATCAGAGAAGCAGAGCAGCCAGCCACTAGTTCTTACCACTATGAAATCCTCAGACCAAATGGGATATTCTGTCTCTACTAGTTCTGAGACTGGATGCTGTCTCTATGAAACCTCAGACCAAATCCCTGAGCTCCTGCCTCCTCCCGCCTTATATTCCTCTCTGCGCCCAGCCATATCACTCCTGGCTCCACCTCCCTAGTGCTGGAATTAAAGGTGTGCGATCCCAAATGCTGGGATCAAAGATGTGAGCTCTGTTTCACTTTTAGACAGATTCAATGTCTTGTAGCCCCCAGGGTGACCCTGAAATTATAGAGATCCATCTGCCTCTGTCTTCTTAGTGCTGAGATTAAAGATGTGTGCCACCACTGCCTGGTCTCTGTGACTAACTAGTGGCTTAGCTCTGCACTCTGACCTTCAGGCAAGCTTTATTCGTTAGATGACAAACAAAATATCACCGCACTGACCTCTGGGGATGAGGCCATCAATTTGGTACAGGTCTGAAATGAATCATCTGGGAAGGCTCTCTCAGTTGACCCCAGAGCTCTCAAATATAGCCAGTCTAGCTTGCCAGGTCATCTCAGGGATCCCCTGTCTTGGCCCCATGAGGTGCTAGAATTACAGCCAGGCAGCCACAACCCTGGAATTTATGTGAGTCCTGGTGATTTGAATTCCAGTCTTCATGCTGGCCTAGCAGGTACAAATAGGCACTGAGCATCTTCCCCAGTTCTGTGGAGTGTGGTTTGAGAGGGTCTCACTAGACAACCAGGCTTGGCTCACAGCTCATGGCCTTCGTGCCTGCACTTGCTGAGTGCCCGGGAGTACCCTGAGTGCCGGGAGTACTGTCAGTCTGTCATACGCCCCACCCCCCTGCCTTGAGATCTTCTAAGCAGAGCAGGATGGGGTGCATGCATTCATGTGGGCTTGCCTTCTGCAGCTGCTCCTGCTGTGTGGATTGGAGGTATGAGGAGGCTGCTGCCTGGCCTGCATCTCAGTAGACAAGAGGGGACCCCCCCCGGCCATATATTTAGGAAGTGAAATAGATTGTACTGGGTGATGTGAATGCCTACTGAGGTCTGCCCTGCCCTTCGGAGGGCACATTACAGTCTACACACTATGCAAAGATTCCTCCAAATAGTAAGCCCACACACATTTAGGGGCTCTCTAGTTATGAAAAATAATAGGATATAAATGTGTGACTGTTTAGGCTCATGTGTCTCAGAGGAATTGACGAGACTGTGTTTCAAATAGATTTCCAAACTCTGTCAGTGGCCATGGGAACTTGCTATAGGATTTGAACCTCGCTAGGAAGGACGGTGTCACCTTGGAGATAGTCCATTTGTTCAACTGAAAAGAAGGCTGATTTCAAATGTTCATAAGCAAGGTGAAAAAAAAAATCTCACCATGATGGAGTCCTCTGGGACTGTGGAATGGTTCTGTGGAATTTAATTAAAATGACATTGTTTCTGGAAATCACAGTGCTTCCTTGCTGGAGGCGCCTACAGAACAGACAGCTGACGGCCCTCCTGAAAGGTTTGCGCGGTGGAGGGGGACTTGTGACTAACAGTAGGCTTTTTTCCTGCCTCTAGGATTTATACCGCTTCATTGTGGTCAGAGGTTTGGGAATTTTAATAGGTTTTGGTAGAGATTCTTAAGGCAGGGGAAGGTGAATAGACCCTAGGCACACGAGGCGGAGGGAGAGGAAGCTTTCTAGGGGGTGTTAATGTATTAGTTATAGTGCAAGAGGCCACTTTAAGCTAGCTGCGTCCCCATTCTCACGGAGCACATATTGTGGTGGGGACAAACACGCCAACAAGGAAGTCGTGTAATTGAATGCGTCTCATGCGTCTCAGTGGAACACGGAGCAGCAGGGTACAAAAGAGCGAAGCGGGTAAGCGATGAATGCGCATAACACCTGCATCTCTGCCGTTGCCACAGCCTCCTGCTCTCCCCTGCCGAGATGCTTTGAGTGGGTAAAATTAGTCACCTTGGAAAAGTCCTGCCTGGATGGTGACGGTAGTGGGGAGTTCCCTGGCTTAGTTGCTTATTGTTGCTTAGCCATTACCCTTAACTTTAACATCCTTTGGAAAAACAAAACAAAACAAAAAACCAAAAAACAGGACCAGTTGGGCTCATGTCCGCAATCCTCCCAGCACCTGAAGGGCTAAGGCAAGGGGATCACTGTGAGTTCAAGTCTAAAACAACCCCCCAATTCACCCTTCAACCCCCAAAGCTGAAGACACTGAAGGTGATGTCGGGGATCTAAGAGCAGCAGCAGGGGGTTTGCTCGAGGGCTCTTCAGAGTTTATGTCAAGGCTTAGGTCTCGGTGTACTCATCTGACGATGAGAACCAGGCTTCTTAAGTGGAGCCTCACATGGTGGCTGGTATCAATGGCTGTTGAGTTTCTCACCGTGTTGACCCCTCACTCCACACGGCTGCTTGAATGTCCTCTTGGCGTGGCAGCTGGTTCCCCAGAGAGAATGGGAAGACTCAAGAGGCCATGGTGCTCTTAGGACCTGTTTACATCTGACTTCTCTTGTATTCATTCATTAATTAGTCCAGCTCATACCCTAAGGGGGGTAGAGATGGAGTTCTACTTTATTTTTTTTAAATATTTATTTATTTACTTATTATGTATACAATATTCTGTCTGTATGTATGTCTGCAGGCCAGAAGAGGGCACCAGACCTCATTCCAGATGGTTGTGAGCCACCATGTGGTTGCCGGGAATTGAACTCAGGACCTTTGGAAGAGCAGGCAATGCTCTTAACCACTGAGCCATCTCTCCAGCCTCCGAGTTCTACTTTATTTATTTATTTATCTTTCCCCTTTTTGGAAGGGTGGTGGTTTCTTTTCTTTTTCTTTTTCTTTTTTTTCGAGACAGGGTTTCTCTGTGGTTTTGGGGCCTGTCCTGGAACTAGCTCTTGTAGACCAGGCTGGT